TTAAAAAAATAAAAATTAAAAAACCCCTAGCGCCAGAAAAAAAATTTTTAAAAAAAAAAAAAAAAAAAAAAAAAAATTCATGTTTGTTACATCTGTATCCACATCATGACAATATAATATAAGACAAGTAATCTGTGAAAAGATTGAGCTCCCCCACCTCCTTCCTGAACTATTATTGCTGCTACCAGTCAAAAAGAACCAATTAGAGTCAGGAGGAGAGAAACCATGTGCTGCCAATCGTGCTAATGGTAGAGAAACAACTTAGTGTTCAAAGAAAACCATTTATCCACTGTCATCAGTGTCCGTGCTAACTAGCCTTAGCATTTGTGGCAGGCTATGTTGTTGTGAATCAGTGTAGCTTAGCAGAGAGCAGGGGGAACGGTGTGAGTGCAAGAGTGATTGACAGCACTAAGACCCTCCTCCTGGCTCTGATTGGTTGTTTCCTAGCTCTTCTAAATCAAGCTCTTCAAGCAGAAGAGCTTGATTTTTTTATTAGATTATCTCTTTTTTCTGCAGAAATACTGTCATGATATAATGATAATTTAAACAAAAAACATATATTTTTTTTAATAAAAGTTACATACTGCAGCTTTAACAGAACCTCACTGAAGAAATGCAGAACTACTTTGGAACTGTAAACCCTTTCAGTGTTGTGATAGTGATGCACATACGTATGACAGAATTTAAAAAATTATAAAACAAGATTATAGAGAATAATCATTCCCTACCTGCAAAAATCCCTATTAAAAGCATGAAAGCCTTCTTTCATCCTCGATTTATGCTCGAACAATCTCTGACTACAGTAGCTTCCCATAAATCTCCATTTAACAACACTCACAGTGGGTCTCGTCCAGGTGACTCCCCGCACTTTGTAGGAGTTTGGTCCGAGCTCATTGAAGCCTAAGGATGAAGGCAGAGCTTCGAAGCAGTCATCCTCAAACAGCTGTCCTCTCTCCAGACAGCTCCTCCTCAGCTCCTCAAAGTCTTGGTTCAGGTATTTCAGTGCATGAGAGTTGGTTCCAATCCCCTTGGATTTCTCTCTGAAATGCTGAAGTTTGGCTGCGATGCCTGACATCTTGAAAGGGTTTTGAACAGTTTCCGTCTACCTGTGGCTGGCTGCCTCTCCCTCTTATGTGACTGTGTGTTCAGTTAAACAAGCTCCTTGTGATTTGTGCAGATCAAATGTTTCCACACCCCTTATTGTTCATGCCAGACAGCCCTTTCTGGTTTGCATGTTTGTTGCCAGTTCAGTCACCATAATTCTCACATGAGTAGAGATAGAAAACAGGAAATACTGTTCAAAATCAGACATAAAGAGACACATTTCTTAGTATTTTTATTTTTCTTTATTTAGTGGAATCTATAGCGCAAAAAAATTGATAAGTTAAATTCACTTTCTTTTCAAATTATTATTTTTCTTCTCTTCCTTGTTCTTGAATATGTCTTGTGCTTATCCTTAGAGCTAATTGATCGCCAGGCACATCCACTACAAAAGGAAATAGAAAAAAAAGAAACAAACTCAAAAATCTCTTAAATAGCAATCTTGTAAAGATATTTTATTATGTCCCCCACCTGTTGTATGTTCAGCTCAATCTTCCCTGAGTCTCCTTTCTCCAGGGCCTTAAACATTTCTGTGGGAGAGGCGGACAAACAGATGTATTACTAATGCAAACACCACTATGCTCTCCGTCGGCTCAATTGCAAAAACATTGCTGTGAAATTTCTCTATTTGCTCTGGTGTCACTCACTGAAGAGCATTTCCAGCTTAATGAGGCAGCTCACAAAGCTGTCAAAATCGATGGCAAACTGAGCATCCGCATAGCGATTGACGATGGCCTGCAGCACAGCGCTGTTCACATTGAAACCTGCAAAAAGAAAGATGAGCTGTGTGTTATCGTGTAGCTGATATGTGTCACGTTTAAAGATAAAGGGTGTTCGTCCTCAGCCTGCTGGCCAGGTGTTGTTATTGAAAGGTATCAGGCTCCAGCACAGTTTTATGCTGTGCCGTTTTAAACGTGCACCTTTTATTGTTGTGCCAAAGTTTGCATGCATGAAAGAAAACTTGAGTGCTGGGCGGGAGCTGCCGAACTGGCATTTCCAGTTCTTGTATAACCGCTCTCGCATGTCTCTTGCAAACACACGCACACACACAAACACACACACAAACATCTGAGTCAGTAGTTTGCTATTTGTTCCTGCAGTGCTTCGTCAGACAGAACAAATACTCAGAAAAAGAAGCGCCACCATGCGTTTGGAAAGCTGTGCTAGAGAAGCAGGCTTGCTTCTCTAGCACAGCTAGTGAGAAGACAAAACCATGAAAATGAAAATAATCATTCAGCAGTTTATTTCAGCTGTTTTTTTTTTTGTTTTTTTTTTTCATCTCAAGCTTTTGTGGTGAACATTTGTTAACATGTCTGTTACCTGCTTTAGTAGCGGCGGCTCTCATTTCCAGGGAGCTCATTGTACCCGAGTAGTCTGTGTCGTGGCTCTTGAAGATCTCCTACATCGACACATTAACGGCTTGATCACATGGCCAGGTTTTACAGCACGGCTGACATTTATTTGTAGGGCATTTAAAAACACGTCGGAAAGCCAAGAAATGCAAAAATCTTGATGGTGTGAAACATGCATTAATTACAATTTACATTCTGTGGTTTTCAGACCAAATAAACTGGTTATTTATTTATTTATTTATTTATTTATTTATTTATTTATTTATTTATTTATTTATTTAAATACCTTCATTTATGTTTAACTACCATATGGATGATGATGTTGTGTATGTAATGGCACCACCTTAAAGAAATATGCCATACATAAACAGGTAAGAGTGTAGATTATAGCTATTCACAAGCATTTCTTTTCACAGTGGTGGCTAACAGACTTAGCTCACAACAGTGAGCTTTTAAATGCTTGCGTAGCGTGCCTGTCTGTTAGGACTCCATTTTTCGTACTGGATAAATCTCTATATACGTTTTCACTTCATTAACTCAAGTGGAAACTTTGCCATATTACTGCCACTGATGGTTGTGTTGTGCACTGATCCCCATGTTCAGCGATTCAAACACAATTTTATCAACTTTTGGCAATGTTCTGATATCTTCATACTCACCCTTCTTCTTACACAATATTACATATTTCTCAGTTCCAAAGATATAAATTGATGTCAGTGTTTTGAGCAGCAAGCTTGAACGCTGGGAAAAGCTGTAAAAAATCAATATAAATGCCTTATGAGAGGAGAAGAACACGCCATACCAGGTATTTCTGAAGTTTGTTCCAGAGAACATGGAATTCCTTCAGCCCCAACTTGGCACTTTCATCTTTCTGACAATGTTAAGACTTTAAAGGTCTATCAATTCATGTTAACATCAGGAGTTTTACACTGTCACAGAATTACTGCTTTGAGTGCCATCTCTAATTGAGGATACATCCAGCAGACTGACTATGAGACGCGCCGTCTCGAGGCTGAATCCGTCTGTCTTGATGTCAGAGCCTGGAAAAGAAAGACACCAATGAGTTGATCATTACAGTTCCCAAATCCCCAAAAGAAGCAATTAATTGTCACCGCTGTTACAGATGTGTATCAAACTTTAAAATGAATTAATCTTTTATCACAGCTGCATTACCACACGTTGACAAATGTTGAAAAACCAAATCTTAATCAGTACATTTATTCTATTTCTAGCCTCTGGCACAAAGCTGCATAAAAACAAATATTTATATTTCCTGGAAACATCTCCAAAGATCACATTCAGAGAAGCGCAACAAAGAGTGGGATCTTGTGGTTGCAAAGTTTCCATGCCAATCATTAGATTCTTTCTCTGTGGCATTGTTTGTGGCCTAGCAGAAACATAAACGTGCAGCTCGAAAGGACTTTATCTCAGACAATGGTGTTTGTTCAGATGAGACAGAGTTTGTTGCAAGATTTTCCGCAACAAACTCTTCAAGCAACAACAGTGTGCAGTTATTCCACTGCAATGACAAAATGATTCACTTTAAGGTTTTTACACATTCTTAGCAGGAATTCTGTAACACGTGCGAGACACTTTATATTTAACTTCTCGGCATACTTACGGTACGAGACAATGTTGTTCAGAATTCCAACTAACTCAAAGGCAGATACTTCCATGTCCTGTTCAACAACAAAAAGGCAAATTATGACCTTTTAGTTTTCCAAAAAGATTGAAACCCTAATTTAAAGGGAACATATGTGCTTCTGGACCTACACTGCCAGAAACTTCCTTAAAGATTTTCTTGAAGTGAGGATCAATGTCACTTTCAGACACCTCCTCCTATAAAAGAGCAATGAAAACAAATGAAAACACCAGCATTTTGAAGGCTCAGCAAACGCTCTGTTGAAGATAAAAGAATCTACAAGTTTACCTCTTTGATTTTAGCATCAATCTTCTCCTCCAGTTGACTGAAATATAAATCTGGAATTATTTCTTTTATTGATGAACTGGAAAAACAGCAACACAGACAAAAGTATCACAGATACCTGGTATTGGCCTCTTTCTCTGAGAAGACCCTGAGAACAAATTTGCCGTTCTTATGAGGGTGAAAGGTCGAGGGAATGATGGCGTATTCTCCAGGGGGAAGTCTGAAGCGGTCGCACACTTCACGGGTGTTGATGAAGGTGCTGCTCATCGCCACGGCTCTCTGACGCAGCAACACGTCTGGGCTGAGGCGAACGTTGCTGCAGCCCTTGTACTTAGAAGGGAAGGTTTTGTTTTTCTTTAGTAGTTTCTTATATACAAGATTGAGACTGAAATGAAGGAGCGAGAGAGTTGAAAGACTAAGCGAACACAAACCTGATCTGGAACCTGCAAAACAAAATGACAAATGTTTTAGAAAAATTACTTTGATAAAGTTTAATATCTTTAAACTGGGTGTCAAATGACTTCGTGAGACCTTATAAATGGCAAAGCCGATGGTCTCCAGTTCGCCATTAAGCCTCCTCTTCTGCCGTCCATCCTTTTGCATCAACCCCACCAGGAAGGTGCATCTGTCCTCCCCATCCAGGGGGTCGTCATCCACATCCTCCAGACGCACGACAAACTGAGGGTTGGAGGGGAACGTGGCTGGAACAGACCGAGGAGGAGAAATGTCTTACAGAGGGAAGCGACACAGAGCTTTGAGCTCTGAAAAGCAGGAATCTTCCCAGGTTTCTGTCCAACCTGCATGGTTTCTGCAGCCGCCAGCGGTGGATCCCACCCTCCACATCCCTTCGAACTGGTAGTTGTTCCAGTGGCCAAACTCATCGCTTTCCAGCGTATCCGGGGTCAAGTTGCAGATCTCCAGCTTGGAGAAGTGCTTGATGAAGTCCGAGTAGGACATCCTGAAATCAAGAGCAACGTTGTTCTACAGCGTGTCGCAAAGATATTCACTCCCCTTAAGCCTGACATTTTATCAATATCAAAAAAAAAAAAAAAAAAAAAAAATACTTAATGTATTTTATCGTCAAACTTATTTTCTTTTTGGGCCACATCAAGATCAATAATGTTTCTAAAGGGCCAGATGTGGCAGAAAGTATTGATTAAACTACCCATTAACACACTATTACATTATCAATAAACAGCTGCATCTGCATTCGATGAGAAACTCAGAAAATTAAATATTAAGCATTGTTTCGCTTTAATGAAATTTGGCAGAATGCAGACAAAACTGCTGTGACTTAACTGATAAACTATTTAAGCACAAAACTGTTACCTTGAAGGTTTCATTTGTAGAGTCTAGAAGCCCATATAGAAACATATGTGCGATATCATCCACCACATGACATCCCACGAAAATGCAGTTCATAAACATACAAAATGTTGACTTAAATCCCTACATACCAGAACTCTCCATCTTCCGCCACGTGGTTCAACTTTGATTTGTCAGCCTCACTGACGTACTTCCACTCATTGGATCTATTTTACAAAAATAACACCATTAATAAGCAGTGAATGTTTTGCTTATTTTATTTAAAGAAAAGTTTAAAAGCAAAATGGCGTGACAAAGGGTTTGCCTCCCCCCTTCCTTATTTTATATTTTGCATGTTTGCCACACTTAAGTGTTTCAGAACATCCGATTTAAGTATTAGTCAAAGGCAACACAAATAAACACAAAACACAGTTTTCAAAATAACGATTTTATTATTAATGCAGACAAAATGGTCCGGTGCGAAAGAAGTGTTGATTGGCTTTTTTTTCTTCCTTAATAATAAAAAGGTAATTTTAAACCTGCATTTTATCTTAGCTTGTGCTGTCCTTAACTAAAACTTCAATTGGTTTGATGCTCTGAAACCCTGAAGTGTGATAAACATACAAAAAAAATATAGGAAATCAGAAAGTGGGCAAACACTTTTTCATACCAGACTAACATGAAAAAAGAACCAGTTCTCTGTATTCCTTATTCCTTTATATGTGTCCACATTAAAGAAAAACACACTGCTGGTTATCAATTTGCTGAACTGTCAGAATTTACCCGTCACTCCAAGGGCCTGTCCATTCCACTTCTCCCCATGGGTTTCTGACGCGGACCAGTTGAACATCCCTGCCTTGGTAGCTGACCTGGAAGAACAGGAGTGTGCAGAGTATATAATTGGGCATTACACAAAACAAGAAGCTAAAATAACTACCTCTTCTGCACCAGTAACAGAGTATGCATGCCCTTTGACAAGCTTCAGAGTGGTTACTGCCTCTGTCTCATAGGCACTGGTAATCTAAAAAAAAAAAAAGCATCAGAGATAAACATTTTAATCAGGTGCTTTCATGACTGTGTGTTTTGTCTCTGTTCAAACTGCAGTGCAGTTAAATATGAAAATGAGACTTGCATCAATCGAGCAGCCCAGCAGTGAACCCAGACTCAGGGCTTTCCGAATGATTTGGAAGAGCTCCGGTGGAGCTTTGCTTAAGGTGTAAATCTCAGCAATCCCTCCTGTGAAATCCTCAAAGCCCTCGATGGTGTTTCCTCCAGACAGAGCTTCGTAGCAACCGTTCACCCTGCCAGACACAAGGGGGAGAAACAAATTTAGCTCCTCAGTTTACACTCCACTAAAATAAACAAACGTACAAGGCGGAGTGATTTGTACTTGGCATAAGCTTTCTCCAGGAGAGCGCTCCAGAACTCTGAGCCCTCTGCTGAGTGAACAAAGAGAAGCTTCCCGTCTCTGGTGGGTAAGCGATCATCTATCACGACATCCACCCACTCACCATACTGCCAAAACTGAAAGAAACGATAAGTGTTAAAAACACACACAAAAATATAAATCTGGTGTCATTACAAAAAAATAAATAAAAAATAAAAAATCCTGGAATCCTTCAAATATTCCAATATCAACCTTTTTTATAAGGGGGGCGGAACAGACTCTCAACTGTCTGTTCAGAAAATTCAGAATTTTCTGAATTATTATTATTATTATTATTTTAAATTACGTATCAAAAATACCCAAAGAAAGAAGCCTGTTGGGTAAATGTTAGTATTAAGTTTCCTGACCTGAAAGTGAAATATCCCAGCGTAATCCTCAGTGAAGCTCTGACCAGTGGGAACCACCCGTCCAAGGATCCGCTGGTCCAGAGTTAGAGAAGCAATGGCAGCCAGAAGCCAGCAATCCCCTGAAACATAACAGCAAATAATTGTGAATTAAAATACACAGAGAGATTGAAATAGACACTAATGATCTGCTGTGCAGTTTGTTTACATTTTGAAAACACGAAAAATGATAATATTTCAATCTTGTGTGTTTTGTGTTATTTCCTTCAACACACACTCCTTTCATTCAGGGGCCACTACTTTTGTTTCAAACTATAACACTGTTTTCAGATTAAAGTAAATATGCAACTGCTGTAAAACTAATCTACACTAATATACATACAGATGAACTAAAATTTGAGTCATGACTTTGCCAATGCTAATTTTATCTTGGATGAACAATGAAATATGCACCAAAAATTGAGTTTAGTGATGCATCATGAGCAACATTCAGCTCAAAAAAAAGGTAAAAGTTATAATGAAAAAAAAATTCTATATGACTTTAAATGATACTTTTAATAAACCTTAACCCTCACAAATGACAAAACTGCAGCAGCTTTGTGAACATCTGGCTGAATCGACTCAAGCTTACCAGGGACAGACTCCCTGGTAAGCGACTGTGGCTCTGTGGGTAGAGTAGTCGTCTTGTGATCGGAAAGCTGTAGGTTTGATTCCAGCTTCCTCCTGCCACATGTTAATGTACCCCTGGGCAGGGCACTTAATCCCAAGTTGCCTACTGATCTGTGCATTAAATAAATGTGTGAAGGTGACTCTAGTGGTCAAAATTACTGGAAAAGTGCTATATAAGTTTATTTACCATTTTTGAAGTAAACTAAATGATTTGAGTAAGACTGACTTAAATATGTTATCTTAAACATACTTAATACATTTGTTAAAAAAATTAACAAATTGAGTTGGATGATTATTGGTTAAACTTAATAAATTCAGTTGGATAAACTTAATTGAATTGCTTGTTACCTATACAAGCAATTCAGTTAAGTTGGTTCAACTATTTTCTTTTTAGAGTGTGTATGGGTGATTTAGTAGGATCAGCTTTACTATCATCACCTCTACTAATTAAGCTAAACTTGTTCATTTCTGATATTAATGTAACTCAGAACTAATTATAAAAAGTAAAACCCAACTAAATTTTTCATTCACTGATAAAGATCTGTTTGGATCTGTCAGGGTGTTTTCAGAGTTAAGAAATGATGAAAAATTTAAATATGTTGCCTTTTTTTTTAACAAAAAAAAATCTGCAAAAAGAGTATTCCCAAAATCCCTTGATGTGGGGATGAAGGAAAGAAGAAGTGTTTAAGCAATTCATATACGAACAGATATAAAACTGTAGAAAATATCTATATTTCTA